CCAGCTACAGCCACATTTAAACACACTTGGCTGAGCAAGTTTCTAGCATGCTCAGCCATGGGGGTGGGTTTTATTTTTGTCAGGGGTGGTGGGCTCCCACTCTCGGCGTTGAGTATTACGGGTGTCTAAGAAGGAGAACGGTGTTAAGAAATTGTGCACGTCAAGGTGCAGAGGACGGTGGTGTTTATGAGCGGTGTAGAGGCAGAGTGGCCATTTGGGCTGGGAAATGCGAGAGATCTGGGTGCCATCTCCAGCTCTGCTACTTAGCTTGTTGGGTTGCCCTTGGGCATGTCACTTCACCTCACTCTGCCTGGGCTTCCCCTTCTGTAGATTGGGAATCAGGGCCAGCCTTAGGGGAAATAGTGTGGTGCCTCTGGCCCCTGTGTGCATGGCATTGATCCTTTCCCCTGGCACCAGTGGGTTCCCCACTCCCTGCACCCCCTTTATCCATAACCCCTGCATTGTGTCCCCTTTGTCTCAACCTCTGCATAGAATCACCGTCACCCCTGCTCCCTACACATCCCTCCAGCCTGCACCCCCGACCACAGCCCTGCGCTGTCAGCATCCCCCATGCCCAGTACCACCCGTGGCCCCCCATCCAGAGATCATGACAGATTCCTGTGCCCAATGCCCTTCCATACACACACACACACACACACACACACACACACCCGCCTTCCCCGCACTGCTCTAGGACTGGGACTTGGCAGCGAGATACTTCTAGGTGCATGGCCAAAGGCTGCAGGGAGGCATGTTACAGGATGGCTGTGGCCAGGGCCCCAAATCCATTTGAATGACAAAAAAAGAAATAGCTGATGCCAAGGGTGGAGTCCAGCCTGGGGCCTTGCCTGCCCCTGCTCTGAGCCATCACCTCCTGAATGGCCTTTCATTCACCCTACAAGAGAGCAGCCCCCTGCCAGCCTGAGAAGCAAACGGATGCTTGGGTTGTGCAGTCGAATGGAAAAAGGAAGCGATTCATCATTGTGAAGGAGAAATGAATCCGGGGAGACTGCCCTGTTTCCATCCTTCATTCCATGCCTCTCTCCCCCTCCATTCAGACTTCAGTGCCCAGCCCAGCTCCCCTCAGCCATCCTAGGTCCTCCTCTGCCCCCCTCTGCTCTCTGGGGTCCCTGCTCAGCTACCTCCCCTCCGAACGTGGCTCCCAACTTGTCCTGAGCAGGCAGGCAGGGTCAGAGGGACTCCCCTCCACAGGAAGGTGGGCTGAGCCGCTCTGGGCTTAGGGAGGTGCGGGGGGGAGGAGAAGTGAGGAGTGTGTGGGTGGAGGACAGGGGCCAAGATGGG